TTACTGAACTGACCTCAGCTGAACAATGACACTACTGGTTTTTTTAAAGTGAGTGTGAGTGAGTGAAAGTGAAGTGACATGTGGCCCATACTCGGAATTAGTGCTCTGCATTTATCCCATCCAAAGTGCACACACACAGCAGTGAACACACACCCGGAGCGGTGCCTTGCTCAAGGGCAGGTCAGTCGTGGTATGGAAGGTGGGAGAGAGCGCTGTACATTCACTCCCCCCACCTACAATCCCTGCTGGTATGAGACTCGAACCCGCAACCTTTTGGGTTACGAGTCCGACTCTCTAACCATTAGGCCACGACTTCCCCACCTGCTTTACAGCAGAATTGAACCCTGTTGCATCTTTGAATCATCGTTTATCACTATAAAGCTGCTTTGAATAAATCTGAATTGTATAAAGCACTATATAAATAAAAGTAAAGGTGAGATGTCACATATTTTATTTAATTTGACAGAAAAACATTATACACCTCAAAAAATGAAGGGAACACTTAATCATCACAGTCAGTTAAACCTCAGGGATATCAGTCTGTCCAGTTAGGAAGCACAATCAGGAAGTGAATCAGTTTCACCTGCTTTGCAGCAAATGAATGTGACAACAGGAGCACCAGCTACAGCAAGTCAAAACCACAAACAAGGACTGGTTTTGCAGGTGGTGGCCACAGACGGTTGCTCTCTCCTTATCTTTCCTGATGTGTCTGTAGTTTTGGGTTTTGTTAGGGTCCTTGTCATTACTTGAAGCGTGAGGCAGTATCTGCAACCCAAGAAGCATTTTGGTGTGATTTTAAATCTAGATTAAAGACTCATCTCTTCAGCCAAGCATTCACATAATGAATCTCATACCCTTGTTCCCAGTTAGATCAGATAAAAGTCACCAATATATTTTTTTGCTTGAAACGTTATGAATAGCATCTACGCTAATTCTTTTCTATCTGTCTTTCTGTTCCTACCCCGGGATGCCCAGAGATCACACCAGCTCCAGTGTCGATCCAGCCTCAAAGAAAGCCTTCAGATGCCCCCACACCTGTGAAGAGATGATGCTGACCCCTGCGAGGACCCCAGACAACCCCACACCTGTGAGGAGGTGATGCTGACCCCTGCGAGGACCCCAGATGACCCCACACCTGTGAAGAGGTGATGCTGAAATTAAATTTGTGGGGTCCACATGCTGGAATTAAGAGCTTCTGCCTGAACTTAATTCATGTTAGCTAACTGTATGATTCTATGATCTTGAACTGTTCATTTGTGAAATGATCATTACTTCACGTCTTCACGACACATTCACGTCTGCTTTGTAATGTAGACACATGCATTTTCTGTGAAGCTGCTCTGAAACAGTTTGTATTGTGAAAAGCACTATACAAATAAATCTGAATTGACTTGACTTGAATTGATGATTTGATGATTTTGGCTTCCTATTTCACATTATTTTGTTCTCAATGAATTGCACAATGCATATAAGTAAAGATTTTGAACTTGAATATTTAGCTCATCAAGATCCAACGTATGATTTAAGTGTTTCATTCATATATGTATTTTTTATTTTCTTTAGCAATAATACATAGACAAATTCGTTCAATGAGAATAAAAGCAGTTACTGTATAACTCAGCAATGTTTATAATAATAATAATAAATTATAATATCTTATGCAAAATCGGTCATGGCCACTGGAGCCTAATCATGGGGAAGGTATGCACTGAATGCCGTAGTAAACTGACCCTGGAGTGTAAGCTGCCTCGGCTGCTTGCAAACCCTAAAAGCCACATCAGTTTTTGGATCTGAAAGTCAAGGTTACCTGCTTACTTGACTGTAAACTTGCCCAAGCAAATCACATAACCTGCTTTCTGGAATTCCCTGCAGACAGCTCAGGAGCAGGGGCTGATATATTCTGTATGATTTCAAGTGCAGGGGTTAAAAGCAAAAAAAAAAAAAGAAAAAATCCTGAGCCTGACCTTTTTCCGGGGGTTGAGGGGGTGGACACATACACAGGGTTATTTGGCAAACAAAAAAATAATTTTTTTGAACAATTTGGACGTATGACGGAGTATTTCTGTGCCAAAAATCGTACTTCCGGGTTCGTACAAGTTTCTGAGTTTTTCTCGATCGTGGCTCTTCATGACGTAGACGAGGGTGGAAGAATATAACTGATGTAAATGACAAAAACAAAGTTTAAGGCTGATGTCTCGATTCATTTTTACAAAAGCAAAGCAGCAGATGTTATAAATAAAAACAGTTAAAGGGGGGGTACAATGCTGTTTCATGCATTGAGAGTTGTTTACACTGTTAAAGAGTTGGATTCTCATGCTAAGCATGGACAAAGTTTCAAAAAACAATTTGGACGTATGACGGAGTATTTCTGTGCCAAAAATCGTACTCACGACACGCCTCCAGGAGCTCGGCTGTTTCCGGAGAGAATCATAAAGCTGTATCTTTCTTTTATAAATATGATAAAACTAAAGACTTTTTGGAGATATGAAGTATGCAGTAGGTACTCAAGATTAACATGAGATTGGGTGAAACTGTGCATGTTATGCCCCCTTTAACAATGTTATTGAATAGAATATATTAAAACCGTTATTGCACGGCATAGGCCTATTTTTATAGGCTTTGTTTATGATGAATTTGGTGCTTTTACTATTATTGCAGCTTAGATGTTCAAATGCCACAAGGAGAAGTGCGTACGCCTGCTCAGACCCTGACATGGCGGTATGTACTTTTCCACGTCAAAGACCGTTTTTATAAATATGAACGTTGCCGTGGATTTTAGCGTACGCACACTCTAAGATCAAATCTGTGCGTACACACATTTTATAAATGAGGCCCAGTCTTTACTGGTAAATTGCCGTTAAGAGATCATGTGTGAACAGGACCTTTTTAAAAAAACGATAAATTCGTTCTGGTAATCATATCGTTCTTATGGAGATGAGGTGATTACTCAGCTGTTTACAAAGCTCTGCTGCTTTTTTAATAGCTTTTCTATGTAAATATGACGCTAGATGGAAATCTTTGACCACTGCATCTCGCAACTTTTTCAACGTGTCGCGCTCGAGATCCAGGCCTCTTCTCCATTCATCAGCTGCGACTCTGCTATTTCACTTTCAATAAAACATTTGCAGTGGGTTTGTAAAATGTTTTTGTAAATTGTTTTATGCTTGTTTTGGCCTGAGACACTTGGTGTTGGTATACATATTTTAAAAATTAATAAAAAAATGTAAATAAAATTGTTTTCTGCACATTCTTGTTCTACATCTCCCCAAGTACCACTGAGGTGATTGTCATGTCACTTTACTGTATTTTTACTTTACTTGGGGAGATGTAGAACAATAATCTGGTGGAGTTTGCAGAAAACAATTTGATTTTACCTTTTTATGAATTTTTAAAATTCAATTCCAACATCAAGTGTCTCAGGCCAAAACATGCATAAATCATTTTACAAAAACATTTTACAAACCCATTGCAAATGTCTTATTGAAAGTTTAATACATTAAATACAATTAAACAATTAAATACCATTAAATAAGAAGTGCCTGTATAATGTGTTTTTAATTAGCCTATTATTATCGATTAATTGACTGTGGTTTCAGTTTGATACGAGCTCAGACCCACACTCTTTTAAAAAAAATGATTTGCGAAGGTTTCAAAGCTTCATGTCCATCACTACCACACAACGCCATGTAGACGCGCAACAAATTTTTCAGCGTAGATGGCGTGACCGCGTTTCTCCGACACACAGATGGCGTGACTGCAGTCATACATTGGTAGGCGAACTCATGAACTCGAACTGATATTAAATTCATTACACCAAATACACAAAATAATGTTCTTTTTAGCAGCATCATATGACCCCTTTAACAAGTGTTTTTCCAAGCCCCCCCCACCCCATAGATCCGGCACGGTGCCGGAGAACTTTAAGCCCTGCAAGTGCACAAGAGATGAAATGGCAACAATACTTTGCTTTGAATTAAACTCCTGCCCGTGTTGCCATTGCAAAGACAAAGCTCATAACATGTTTTGAGCAGCATCACTCAGTTCAGTTTGATATTTACAGCCTCATAGCTTGAGCAGCTCTAGGGTTTATCAGCACAGCCCGAATTATCTCTAGTCTTTCTACACACGTTTACTCAGCTATAATTTCTATATTTACCGTATTGGCCCGAATATAAGACGACCCTGATTATAAGACGACCCCCCTTTTTCCAGATGTACCTTTTGGAAAAAGGCTTTTTAAAAACCAAATCTTGTTTTTTCTCAGTAAAACACATCCAAGAAAAAAATATTGTCTTATATTCGGGACAATACGGTACTTCTTTTTTTTTTAAATAAAACAAATGGCAACAAGTTATTAATAGTAATTTTTACTAGTAAAGTAAAAATTTTTTACTTTTACTGGTATCGGTATCGGGCCCTGTACTGGTCTCCTGCGGTATCGGGCGAGTACTGGAAAAAGTGGTATCGGTGCATCCATAGTTTTTTAAAGGCAATAATGGTGCTCAATAAACCCTTGGTTCCCCGTTTCATATAAACAGCCAGCAGGCAATGAAGAATGCATGAAACACCAAACTCAAATCGCTTATTTATTCACTTTAAACGGACTTATAAAAGCAACAAGTGGCTTGAGTTCACAATCTGTATTATGCGAACATTGCAAATGTGATGTCCATCAACACGTTTCACATCAGGTTCTTCTATTGAACACCTGCTTGCCTTTAGTCTCACTAACACCTCCGAATCATCACTGATTTAATAAAGCAGCACGGTTCCAGTGAAGGCAGATCCTTCAGCTGTGGGCTAACAGCTCTTGCAGCATCCACTTCCCATTATGCCCTCATTAGTGAAGTCCGTTAAACCTAATGAAGATCCTTTCAGAACAATGTTGAACACCAGCATGACCCACACACAGCACTGTCAGAAGACCATTTCTTCAACACCAAGAGCCATGTGATCTGAAGATTGCATTACAGAGGAAATTTATCAGAAGTACAAGCGGAAAGGTTCAATTTTATTTTATTTTCATATCAATGGAAAAATATAACCTCATACAAACGTCTGATTCTGTTCATTCTTTTTTTAAAAGCTTGGTGAATGACTCCAATTAAGTGCCGCGAGAAGAAAAAAATTACAACCAAAGCACATCAATGCAAATCAGATTGTGACATCGTTGACATGTTTATTTCGCATCTTCTACGTGTCAACACATTAAGCTCAAGTCCAGTGGTATCCGCATGGATTTGGCACTCATTTCCCTGCAAAACAAATGAAGGAGAATAAAGGAGGAAGTGGAAGTGTCTAATTCCTGCACCCCTTGAACATGGACTGCTCTGCTAGAACCTGCACCTCCAGTGGCAAGAGTCTTGTGGCAGGTGTCTATCTGCACCATCCATGCTAGCATACTAATAACACAACCATTTATTTGTAATTCTATTTTTTTTTTTTAAAAAGGAGGGGGAAAAAAAAATATAGCGCAGCAATTGACTTTGGGAAAGCAGGATGAGCGCTCGTCGCCAGATCACCCGAGTGCTGCCCATCCCTGACCACCTGCCGCTCTCCGGTTCACACAAGTGCATCTCACTGAATTTGCAAACAAGATATTGATCATGTTTATTTATTATTGGTTGAAATAGAAAGAGGGGATGTGGAGCCAGCGACCCCCTCCGTTCATTCACACACTCACACTCCAGTCACGCCATTACAAACTCCAGCAGCATCACTTCCTTCTTTTTGTTTGTGTCTTCTGACAAATGTGTTGCGTAATAGGGAACATCTGCAGTCCCACAGATGTATTCCTTTCTTGAGCTAAACGCAGACAGGCTGGCAAGCGTGCACTAATATGATGCACTAGCTTTTCAAAGGGAGAATGTGGATGGTGTGGAATAGTTTATTAGTGGGGTCAGAGACACATGAGAAGAGGGCTTGATGAGGGGAAGGTGGTGGCCGCTGAGTTGTTCTGCTGCTGCTGGAGTTGAACTCTGAAGGTGGTGTGATGTCTCTCTCTCACTCTTTCTCACTCATTCTCAGACACTCATCTCAGCGCACACGTCACTTCTGCTTTGACGTCTATGTGTAAAAGACAGAAGAAACCTCAGTGGGTTTGATTTCCATTATTCTTGGTAGAAGCTCCACGGCCGGTAATCTGAAAACAAACCAAGAGAAAACCATGGAGACGGTTAATGAACAGCAGTTAATGAGTCGGTTCAGATCAAGGCGAGCATTCAGAACACCTCTCATTATTCGCCAATTTAACCTCTCTTCTGTCACAGCACTTATAAAACTGGCCGAGCAATAAGAGTCATGCTTTGGGGCGAGACATGGCCTCTGCGTGGTCTGGTGAGATGGAAGTGCGGTCACATACCAGGCTTGGCTCTTCAGCTTGCGGAGCTCCTTCGTGGCCCACGTGGCTAAGGTCTTGGTCTTGTTGGTCTTGGACCTCCGGCCTTCAGACAGCAGATCGTTGATCTGAGGTCGAACCTCCACCAGCTTCATCACATCTTTTCCAAAGGTTGTACACAGGTCACTTTAGGGGGAGGAGGAAGAGAAAGAAAAAGTGTCAACATAATTATGTGCCAGAGCAATGAACAAGCTGTCATTTAAAAAAGCATGAAGCCACAAATGAGAAGTGCAGTGTAGTCACTCATGTCCTTCTGAACCCAATGACACTTGTCCACGCGAGAGCAGGAAACACATGACTTCAGTGTTCATGAAGCCAGACGCTCTTACCCGATGAGGCCGACAGCATTGGCAACAACTCCATCGGATCGGTCTTCATCCTCAGCAATGTGGTGAATGAAAGACAAGATAAACTCGACACGAGGCTGTACCAGCATTACATCAGCTGCACAAGGGAAACACAGGGTTTTAACAGGAATCCATCTTCAGATCACAGTTATGAGATCGATGTGAAGCTGAACTTACGGTGCACGTTCTCCTGGTCTCCTTTCAAGCCCTGGATGATCCCGGTGTACGCTTCCAGACAGCCCTCTCGCAGCTCGTTCAGATAGTCCACCATATCATAGTCCGTCTGCAAGACAGCAGTCAGTCTGGCTTAGCTTTCAGCAGTTTCAAAAGGAAGAAAGAAATAGGCTGTGGAACTTCAGTGTCACAAAAACAACACATCTGTAGCTATCACAGTGCCGTCCACAGACTCCTAAACGCTTAAAACCAGCTCCAGTGGATCAGCAAACGTCCTCTGAAGTACTGTTGTCAAAAGACCCGGTACTTCGGTACCAAGTCGGTACTAAAAAAATGAAAAGGTTACGGTACCAGGTTTTTGTAAGTACCGGTGGTACAGAGTACCCGGTCAACCCGGTTCTTGATGCGCTTGCTATCAGAAAGGTGTGCAGATGCGCTCTCTTCATAAAGCACAGAGACGTGGTGACCTCAAAACGAGGAAACACACCAAACTAACAAAACACTTTAAAGACAGACACCCGGATCAAATGAAAGAGTTCAAGCAGGTAAGTTTCATTTAAATTTTTTATATTTGTGTTTCCCATACATTGATTTATTTGAGGCGGCCCGCCACAATATCAAAACTCACAGCCACAAATAGATTTTCCAAAAGGCTTTGACTTCGTTGAATAAACATGAGCACTGCACGTGTCAAAGTCGAAACCCGGTGCGAGTGTTTATATATCACTGTATTTCTGAAGGAGACCGACTGTCTTCAGAAAATTATGGATGTCATTTTCATTTCATCTTGCCTGTAATGCCTGAGCAGCGTTTGTGAGCGGAGCGCTTATTTGATTACAGCCGTTACCGGGGAAACCTGATCTCTCGCGCTCTTCAAGCTGACTTTGCATATATATGCCGCCACAAATAAAGTGCAAGTCTGAGGGAAACACCGCTTCTGTTATGAATATTATTCAATATTTTAATGTGAATGTCGGATTGAAATGAACATCGCTGTTATTAGAGTAGTTAATCGTTAGCATAAGCATGGCTAACGCTAATATAATGAGCATTAGAATGAAGTTTCTTTAACTATTTTATAACTTTTATTAGGGTTAAAAAAAAACAGGAGGACATGATGATATTTACTATTTTTACACACCAGAGGCTTTTAAATGAATTGTGAATCTAAAATATGCGTGTTAGAGAATGTACAAATGGTTAACATTGTTCGTGTCATACCAGTCAGAAGTTCTGGGCTTTTTTTGTTTGTTTTTTTTAGCTAACTTAGTTGTTATTCTTGGCTGAATAGCGCTAGGTTTTCAAAAGCCCTTTAAAATTAAATATGTACACATTTTGGATTAAATGAAAGTAGTCAAATTTTTTAATTAGCATGGTTTTTGTGTTTTGCTTTGGTACCGAAATTGGTACCGAGAACCGTGGATTTTCACTGGTATTGGTACAGAATACTGAAATTTTGGTACTGTGACAACACTACTCTGAAGAGAACCCATGCACGCTCTGACACGTAGGTGGTGCGTAAGACAAACAAACACATTCAAATCTGAACTTCTTCTGGCCAACTGCTGTACACATTCATACGAGAGGGTCCGGTTTTGACAAACGAAGCACACTGTGAAGCTCACGCAAGAACTGACACGCAAAAACATGGGAGAAAATCCAAGTATCATGTCCAATCGTGTCTACTTGTATGCATCTGCAACGAACAGACGTGATGCAAGCTTTGAGCACAGCACACACAATGAATCACACATCTTGGCCTGCAGGGAATCAGGGTGGTGATAAACCAGTAGACTAGAGGTGTTCTCGGGCCCTGGAATCTGTACCCGACCCGAGGGCATTTATTTTCTAACCCGACTGGACCTGAATGTAAACGGCATTGACGTGTGCACAGAAACATCCCGGTGTCCTGCTGACTGATTTAGCCGCTTCCCCAGTACTTTGATTTATTTAACATTTAATTCATTATTACTTTATATTATTGCCTGCCTGATGGATACAAGTTATTTCTGAGTTCGGCTTTCAGTTGTGACCAGGGGATTGGAAAAATAAGCGTGATAGTTTGATCAAAATAAAAACGATAGCCTAATAAATCATGGATTCACTAGAGTTGTCTGCTCTGCAATGCTATTTCCCTCATCTCCAGTGAAGGGACTCTGCACACAAAAGAGAAGAGCCCTGCATGAACATGAGCGTAATGAAGCCAGAGGATTTTCCTGATCTCATATCTATCAGATGATTTCTGTGTGCGAGGTTACAAACGGATGTTCCTTTTCTATGCGTTTCTCAAAAATGCACTTAACACCAATGTGCGAGTACGTTAAAAGGATCAGGTCTTATCAGGTCCATTTGGAAAAAGCACACTTATTTTAAATTATGACAGACCCGAGGCAACTAATACAGAACCTGATCCGTGTCGAGGCACTCGTTGAAGTTTTGGACCCGAACCCGCTGGGGTTTTCGGATCTAAGTGGACCCGTGAAGACCTCTACAGTAGATTTTGGACTATCATCTATATCGCAGTTACGTTGCTGTGCCACATGGTCACGAAAACTTATTGTTTGCACTAGTGGTGCAACGGATCACAAAACTCACGGTTCGCATCATATTACAGATTTTGAGTCTTGGATTGGATCATTTTTCGGATCCGCAAAAAAAAAAGAACGTACTTTACTTTCTTTACCACAGCAAAAACTACTTATCTAATAAAGTCAGTAATAAAAAGAACAATTACACAAACTACAAGCATAGATGAACAGCTACATGTGATAATTAAGTGTAAAATAACAACAGTGCTCACTGCACAAGTTAAATACAGATTAATGTTTGTTAAAGCTGTGGTTTTGTTTGATTAGCAGACAGAAGCAGGTATTTATAGGCTGCTGTCACTTTAAGACCTAATACTGACACACATCTGGTTTCTTTCTCAGCTGTTTATGCTCATTTAAGACATAACCGACTGTGTTTACTATAATATTTACCAAAACGGGTATTTTAACATAACTTTGTGTGTATGTGAAAGAGGAATCAATTTGGTGTTCACACGGTATCATCAGGAAACACGGTGTTAGCTTTCACTGTTATGCTGATGATACTCAGCTCTATATTTCTTCGCAGCCCGGCGAAACATATCAATTTGAAAAACTAGCGGAATGCATAGTCGATATAAAAAACTGGATGATGAGTAATTTCTTACTGCTGAATTCTGAAAAAACAGAGGTGTTAATTATAGGACCTAAAAACTCTGCATGTAATAACCTAGAACACTCCCTAAGACTTGATGGCTGCTCTGTCAATTCTTCGTCATCAGTTAGGAACCTAGGTGTATATATCTAAAATATATCTAAATTACGACCTATTCTCTCAATGTCAAAAGCAGAAATGTTAATTCATGCATTAATGACCTCAAGGTTAGATTATTGTAATGCTTTATTGGGTGGTTGTTCTGCGCGCTTAATAAACAAACTCCAGCTGGTCCAAAATGCAGCAGCTAGAGTTCTTACTAGAACCAGGAAGTATGACCATATTAGCCCGGTTCTGTCAACACTGCACTGGCTACCTATTAAACATCGTATAGATTTTAAAATCTTGCTAATTACTTATAAAGCCCTGAATGGTTTAGCACCTCAGTATTTGAACGAGCTCTTGTTACATTATAGTCCTCCACGTCCGCTGCATTCTCAAAACCCTGGCCATTTGATAATACCTAGAATATCAAAATCAACTGCGGGCGGCAGATCCTTTTCCTATTTAGCGCCCAAACTCTGGAATAACCTACCTAACATTGTTCGGGAGGCAGACACACTCTGTCAGTTTAAATCTAGATTAAAGACCCATCTCTTTAACCTGGCTTAATGACCTCAAGGTTAGATTATTGTAATGCTTTATTGGGTGGTTGTTCTGCGCGCTTAATAAACAAACTCCAGCTGGTCCAAAATGCAGCAGCTAGAGTTCTTACTAGAACCAGGAAGTATGACCATATTAGCCCGGTTCTGTCAACACTGCACTGGCTCCCTATTAAACTGCGAATACATGTCTGTACAGGTGCAGTCAGAAAGACTTCTCCACAGACTGAACTGGCTTGATCTACTGTATGCTGCAGTTTATGACAGGTGCTTGTGGTCTGCAGGGAAGAGGGCTGTGCTGCTTACCTTGTCCACCTGTGCCTGCGAGGCCTGCTGCAGAGTGTCCAGCACAATGTCCAGGTACTTCTTGAATTCACCACCAATGGCAAGAGCAATATCCCCAAACACAGACAGGATCTGAGGTTTCACAGACCGGTGCACATTCTCGTTCTGCAAAGACATGCATTCAAAACATGATTACAAAGAAAAGATGTGCATACAGTTACACTGCTGCATTTACAGAGGGAGAACGAGGCAAAAGCAGACTGATCACCTACAGGGCTTCAGAAAAATAAACAACCTACATAAAATAACTGCCCTCATTTGTTTTCTTTTTGCATGAAACAGTTGATTCTGTATATGATTAATCTGTGCATATATTATTTTAATATGCCACAGTATACAATACTATACACAAATGCAATTAAAAGAGCAAACCTATCTATCGTGTTGTTTTAAGTTCAATGTGTTCATTGTAAATGCACTATTCTTATTTATCTTTGTTGTATTGCCATGTTCTTTTAACCCCTGATAACAGTGCAATCTGACCCCGTTTTAACTCCTCCAACTCACCTGAATCCAGACTGAAGTATTAAAATATTTTAGGATCATTTCTAGTTTATTTTATTCTTGAAGCAATGCACAACAGTTTCGGTTTATTTAGTTTTTTGGTAAATCCGACCCTTGTCATAACTCAACCGATTAGGCTGATCGTTACAAACTAATGGCCAGGACAGCTTGTAAATAAAGCTATTTAAACAAGCAGCGCACACACGCACACGCACACACACCAGACGCTGATGTCATTACTTACACCCAGGTTCTCCAGCAGCAGCTGCATGATTTCATCACAGTGAGGAAGGATGTTGGCCATCAGCGCTCGGCACAGATCACACACCAGCCCCACTGCAGCCAGACACACCTGCACACACACACACACAGTGTTTCTCATTCCTCAGCTCTTTCAGCTGTCGAAAGCACAACTACAACTGCTCACGCAAACTGAATACACCCTACCATACCAGAATTCACTACTGGGTAATAACACATTATATTAATTACACATTAATCAGATTATTGTAATGTAGATATACAGATTGTTTGGGTTGTGCAGTTAGTCCACAGACAAGCACAAGTGTCACTAGCCTCTCAGAGGAAGCACATCTCTTCTTTTTAGATACGTTTATGAGCTGTAGAGTCCCGCAATGTGCAGCGTGGCCACAGGAGACCGTGGGGTCGGCACACACCGCGTGAAGTAGACTCTGATTCTCTGTGATGATGTAAAATCCTGAGCTGCCTGAGCTCAGAGCAGCAGGAGGAACAATCATCAACAAACGCCAGCTTTATCCCCAGCATTACCTGGTACTCCGCGAAATTCTTCAGGCCGATAATCAGGAAAGGCTTGAAGGCTTCCATGTACTTCAAGAAATCACTGCCCAAAACTGGATGGGGAAAAAAGAGGGGCAAAAGTTGATTTAATTCATTCAGTAGACATTCACTGCTGTAAAAAACACTGTCCAGACATTGAAAGATGCTTGATTTTGAATGACTCCACGTGAGAGTTACTGTAGTCCTGAGCGTATCTATTGTGTTGGTACAAGGAAGATATACTTGAATCCATAGTTTTAGGAAGCACTTCCTTATAACACAAGCATGTTAGGTGAGAGGGCAGCAAGCAGGTGATCTGATCATAAAACATTTCCAGCTGGAGTTAATGCCGCCCACTTGAGATCACATCAAAACACTTTTAGCAGTCGGTTTCTCTCTCTTCTCTGTCTATCTCTCTAAATACACACACACACAAACTTTTCTTCATTGATGATACTTTTATGATAATAGTTTACTAATATAAAATAATACAATATATAATGCATAATATTATAAAAATGATTTCATCATAAAGTCATAGCCATAAAACGTACATATTTTACAGGCTTCTGGAAATGGGAGAGGGTTACTTTAGGACATGAATCTGGTCTTGTATTTATACTGCAGTGCCATTGCCAATGCTGGTAATAAGATGAGCTTTGGTGTTCAGACGACAGCCATAATGCAGCTTCATACCAAGTGTAAGTGGCTAGTGTTGTGGACTTGAAGCCCCTCACCTTCCACCAGCGTGCTGACGGCCATGAGAGCGTCCTCCTGAACGCCCCCCGAGCCGGCGGTGCTCTGAAACATGCGCAGCAGAGATGCCATCACCACGTCTGAGATCTGCAGCGCGTCCTGATGCTGCACCTTCCTCAGCACGTTCTGGGGAGGGACACGACACGGATGAGAGAGCGCTCACACACACACACACTCGACTCAGGGCCAGAAGAGCTGCGAGGGGCCTGACCTGTAGGGTGGCACACAGCAGGGACTGCAGGTCGTTGAACTGGATCCTGTCTGACGTGCTCTGGATGTGAGACTGGACAAGAGACAGACGAGTTCAATTAGTCAACAAAACAAGCGCCGTCCTGATGCACGGCTCCATGTGTTCTTCAAGAGCCTGAACGAATGGGCTGGGTCATCAACACGGATTTCTCCATTTTAATCTAATCTCATTTTGATACTGATTCTTGAATTCAAAGAATGGATCTTTAAGTCTATGCCATTTTGAGTTGACGGGAATAACTTCACTAAACGTTATTAGATAATCGCAATAAGCTTTGTGACTTATTTTCATATGAATCAATGACTCTGCTTTCAAAATAGTGTATTTTAAGAACTTCAAACAGCAAATGTGGCTTTGACGCTCATCTATGCAGCACCAGAGCGCTATAGCGCCTAAGCAGCTGGTGCATCGATCAGTCGCTGAAGCGCGTGTCATCACACAGTGCCCTTGTGAAGCAGTGAGCGTCATCTGTTCACCTCCATCTGCAGGACCCGCTGCAGTCGCTCCATGATGACCAGCGTGGTCTTCTGTACCGCGGGGTAGCAGTCCTTGGCGCTGTTCTTCACGATCTCCATCAGAGCCTCATACGCTGCACTCCGCAGGTTATTCTGATGCCCGTCTGGCCTGACAGTGAAGAGGAGACAGAGTCACGTTACTCACTGAGCCCAGCGCAGCCCTTACCTGGATGACCAGCGGCTTGAGCTGGCTGAGCTCGGGGCCCTCCAGGATGGAGCCGAAGGCCATGACGGAGGCGTCGCGGTAGCGCCAGTCCGGGTGCTTGATGTGCTCTTTGATGAAGGGCAGCACATGCGGCACCACGTCGTCCTCGCAGCACGTGGCCAGGAGCATCAGACACACGCCCGCAGCCTTACACGGGTTCCAGTCGTCATCGTCGTCGTTCTCATCCTGCACACAGCACTCTCCTTCAGACAGACTCAACAGCAAAACTCCTCAAGTCTTTCAGTCACACAGCAGATTTTCATCATTCTTGACCATGTTCAAAGAAAAGCTGCTGGTCAACACAAATGAGAGGTTTAGTTTTCAGAAAGCAGAAACAGTGTCTCGACCCAATCTGACTTAGTACCACATATGTGACCCTGCAGCACAAAAGCAGTCTTAAGTCGCTGGGGTATATTTGTAGCAATAGCCAACAATACATTGTATGGGTCAAAATTATCCATTTTTCTTTTATACCAAAAATCATTAGGATATTAAGTAAAGATCATGTTCCATGAAGATATTTTGTAAATTTCCTACCGTAAATATATCAAAACTTAATTTTTGATTAGTAATATGCATTGCTAAGAACTTCATTTGGACAACTTTAAAGGTGATTTTCTCAATATTTAGATTTTGTTGCACCCTCAGATTCCAGATTTTCAAATATTGTCCTATCCTAACAAACCATACATCAATGGAAAGCTCATTTATTCAGCTTTCAGATGATGTATAAATCTCAATTTCGAAAAAAAACTGATCCTTATGACTGGTTTTGTGCTCCAGGGTCACATATGGCCCAAATCATAATCTAAAAATCAGATCCCATGTGGTTTGTGCTGTTCACACATTTATGAATAAAAAAACTTTTTCCTGTCTGAACGTAGCCTTCGAGACCGACTATTAAACAGTCTCAGGTACTGTAAATTAAAGAAAAGTCAGTTCAGGGATTTAACAAAACTTATAGTGAAAAAGTGAAATATATGTAGAAGCAGCTTTCTATTAGCAATAACGCCCTTGTGGATGTGATATATTGAGAATACAGTCACCGAGCTGCTTGTTGCACCTGAAGGCCAATTTCCCCTTGATTTGCTGGCTCTGCCTGCGCCTGTACAGGCTGTCTTATCTTTGATTTGTCACTCATTAATAACTGATACTACTACAACTTCTGTAGTCACACTGTTTGAACAGCTAAATTGTTTTAACTTGTCTAAAATGACTAGTTTCTGTGGTTTGTGAATGAGAGAATCAAGGTCTTGTTCCACAGCGTGAGAGCCAGTGATCACTTCACTTTGCTTCAATAAGCTCATTAACCCAGAGGGGAGTTTCTGCACACACACATGATGTATGGCTGGAAATGAGCTTCAAAAACCGCCCTACAGCAGCCAGAGACCAGCTTTACCTGTTTGGTGAGCGTCTGTGTCAGGATGGGCACCAGGTACTGCAGAGCTCCTTTAGCGTAAAACTTGCTGGTGTGCTCTGGAGGACGGCCCTGTTCAGAGGCCTGAGGACACACAACATCAACAACTGATCAGGAACGAGAGCGTTTGCGGAGCAGCAGACTGGAGATGGCATAACGCCGGCATCATGCTTCACCTCAGTGGCCTCAATGGCCAGATCCATCTCCTCGTCGCAGACGTTGGACCAGAACTCGATTCCCTGTAAGGCCACTTCATCGATGTCACTCTTCATGGCCTCTATTGTGATCTGAACACAGAGCAGCAGGTGAGAGCACATCCATCCACTGTACCAGAGATCAGCCATTTCTACAGGACCCCATACATTACATGTGCTAAAGACAGCTTCGGTTTAAAGGGAGAGTTCAGCCCAAAATGACACCTGCCATTTACATTATGAGTTTCTTCTGTTGAAAACACAAAAGATGATATTTTGAAGAATGTGGGTAACCAGACAGTTGCTGGTCCACACTGACTTCCATAGTATTTTTCCCCATACTAATCTATAAAATGTCTCCTTTCGGAAATTTTGGTTTCTTTTTGAGGCTGAGTAAATGTCAATTTTCATTTTTGGGTGAACTATCCCTTTAAAACATCTGGATAATGAATCGCTGGCCTAATACTTCAGTCCAACACAAAATGGATTAAACTGCCACATCACTAACACCAATCATCTCAACTTCAGGAATGATCTTCTGTGAGGGAAACTCGGAGGCGTCTACATGGCCATCGTGTGGTACAGAACACTTTGTTGTTGAGGATGTTGAACTGAGGCTCGTCTGAGAACTTACAGCAAACATATATATATATATATAAAATGTTTGTGTATGTGTTACAATGTAACGAGGTCATATTCAGAAACCAATGAAACCAAAACTAAATAGGGCGTTGATACAGGAAGTTAAATAAACAGAAGAGAATATCAAAATACCAGAACATAAACCTGACATTTCTGGGTTTCTCAGTAGCAGAAATCGTCATAGTTGGGTAAACTTCTATAACAGCGAATGGGAGAGTACCACAAATATTTTTTTTGCATTCCCATTGGCTCAAATAGCAAAAAAAAAAAAACTCCATGATCGTGTTTTCATGACTTTCAAAAAAAGGAAATAAATAGAGAGAGCCTGATAACGGCAGTCAAGAGAGAACGAGGCCAAATTTACCGTCACACACCTTCGCATTAGCATTAACTAGCTGTTTTGTATTTTGATGCAAAGGTAATATAAAAAAGTGT